GCGGATGGACCATAGCTTAGGTCGGGCCTGTCCCTCTACAGGGGGAATGTTCAAAAATAGTCATAGTATGGGGACTATTTTTTGAGCATTTCTGGACCATTTTGGAATATTTTTGGAACATTTATCATTTTTCGTCGAGAATCCCCCTGTGGGGGGACGCCCGACTTAAGCCTACCAAAAGTGCAGGCGGGCGGATGGACCATAGCGGGCGGGCGGACACGAACGGGCGGGTCGAACGGTGGGCTCGGGCGGGCGGGGGGCCCCCGGGCGGCGCCCGCCGCGCCGCCCCCTGGCGCGCTCCGCGCGCTGGCGAGGGGGGCCCAGCGCCGATGTGAGGAGCCCGCACGGATCTCCAGTGTTTGTGCGGTTGTTATTCCTTCTCCTCCTCCTCCTCCTCAGCTTCCTCCTCCTCATCTTCATCCTCCTCCTCCTCCTCCTCCTCCTCCTCCTCCTCCTCCTCTTCCTCCTCCTCCTCCTCCTCCTCCTCCTCCTCCTCCTCCCCCTCCTCCTCCTCCCCCTCCTCTCCTCCTCCTCCTCCTCCTCCTCCTCCTCCTCCTCCTCCTCCTCCTCCTCCAGTGTTTATGCAGTTGTTGTTCTTTCTCCTCCTCATCTTCCTCTTTTTCCTCCTCCTCCTCCTGCTGTTGAATTTGTTCACGCGCAGAACGCTTCCTGTGCACTTCTGCCGCGCCATTTGGGTCGATACTGACCGAGCGAGCGGAAATTCAGGCGATTTCAGGACATGAGACCTGCGGGCGGGGAGCGCGATTCCCGATTGGCGTGAGCGTCTTTCCCGACTTTCTGGAGGCGGAATGCTTTCTCACCGTGTGGGCCGACTCGTCATCTGCGTCGGCATCAACGTTCCCCGCAGACACTCTGGGTCAAGGGGCTTACCCCCTACAGAACCCGCTACCCCACACTCAGCAAGTCGCATCAATGGCGCGCGTCTTGAAGCTCGCCCTGACCGCTTTCGCTCTCCAGAAGGCCTGCGCCCTGGACTTGGCAGCGGAGACGGACCTGGAGGAGAAGGACGCCCTTGGCCACAGGGCGTACTTGGACGTCACAGATGGGGCGGTCAGCGCTGGGGCGCACGGAGCGGAGGTTCAGGAGCTGAGTGGCCACGGCCACAGGGCGTACTTGGACGTCACCGCTGGGGCGGTCAGCGCCGGGGCCCACGCAGCGGAGGTTCAGGAGCTGAGTGGCCACGGCCACAGGGCGTACTTGGACGTCACCGTTGGGGCGGTCAGCGCTGGGGCTCACGCAGCGGAGGTTCAGGAGCTGAGTGGCCACGGCCACAGGGCGTACTTGGACGTCACCGTCGGGGCGGTCAGCGCCGGGGCTCACGCAGCGGAAGTTCAGGAGCTGAGTGGCCACGGCCACAGGGCGTACTTGGACGTCACCGCTGGGGCGGTCAGCGCCGGGGCCCACGCAGCGGAGGTCCAGGAGCTGAGTGGCCACGGCCACAGGGCGTACTTGGACGTCACCGTTGGGGCGGTCAGCGCGGTGGCCTCGGACTCGGACATGGAGGAGCTCGATGCGGGAGGTCGCCCCAAGGGGGCCCGCAGGCGTGCGCACGAGCGTGGTTTGCAAGCGGAGCTTCTCGCGGATGTCGCCAGCACGGGCTGCGCCCAGCTCGGCGGCAAGTGGTTCTCGGATCCTCACGGCAACATGTTCCAGGTGGAGCAGAAAGGTTGCATGATTGATTTCATGCTGACGGTGGCGAAGAGCCCCAAGAAGCACAGGAAGCGCGGCGTCATCAGGGGCACCACGGTGCTGATTGAGCCGCCTTTCCCCGAAGGCAAGGTGCTGATGAACCAGACCGTTGCGTTCGGGCAGCACGGGGACTGGGTGCGCAAGTGGTGAGTGCCTTGGCCAGCCGGTAACCATCTCCCCAGTGTCATCGTCGTCGTTCTTTTCTTCTGCCTGACTGCCTCCTTCGCTGTCTGTTCCACTTCTCAGGGCGACTTAGGATCACAGATGCCCTCCTCCTGCTAGGAGCAGATGCACGAGGCAGTCTTGTGAAAAGGCATAATGTTGGACCCCCTTCGGCGGCCGTGAGCCGTTCGAGGCTACGACTCCGGCGAACCCTGGGGCGACGCCGACCGCGATCTGGAGGCGAGCGTTTGTTTCAGCGGTTGCTTCCGAACTTCATCCTGCTGTTGTGGGTAGTGACAGCGCTTGAAAGCAGAGAAGCACACCGCTACCAGTACCCGTCCATCGTTTTCGTCCTCTTGAGCGTTCGGGGGGGGGGGCCTTCGTCGATTGGATCTGGTTCGGAAGCCTCGTCAGAGCGCACCCCGCGAGAGGCCGGGGCCGTATCGTTCTTGTTTGTTTTTTGATTGCTGTAAAGCATGTTTTTTTTGTTGTTTTGTTTTTTGGGTTATGCTGAGTGGCGGACGGGATTCTACTTCTTCTCTCCTCCCTCTCCCATTCGAGTTCTCCATCCTGCCTCCTTTCTCACCCCTCGCTTGCCCTCCCATCGCCTTCTTCCTGTTTTTTTCCTTCCCCTCCTGCGCGCCACCTTGTCTTTCCGACATGGGCGGGGCGGTGGGATGCGAACCTTGTCTTTGGGGCCGTCGGAGGAGCTGGTCCGTGTGAGGGGCGTGCCGACCTGGGTGGGAGAACTCCGCATGAACCCTGCCTTTCTCTGGGACCGCAGATCTCGGTTCGGGCCGCGTGATTGGACTCTTTCCGCTCACGTTCAAAACATTTTTTGGATCACTACTGAAGCGCCCCCCAAACCGGCCCAATACCGTCCAGCATTGCGTCTGGTGCGCTCTGGCGCCACCCGTGACGCCCCGAGACGGTCTGAAGACTCGCCAAGAGGCCCCCAAGAGGGAGGCCTCTACGGAGCCCCCCCCAAGGGCCCCAGGAGGCAAACATCACCCCAGTCTGTGCTGAAAGTATAGATTTTCAGCACCTTCGATTTTCCAGTCTTGGCAGCCTCTAAGACGGTCCAAGGGGCGCCCACGGAGGCTCTGAGACCGCTTACGAGATCCCAGGCAGGGCCCAAGGTGGCCCCAAGACGCTCCGTAGCCATTTTGGCTCAAGGTTCGCCAGGTGATCGTATCTTTCCATATCAGCTTCCAGGCCATCGTCCATTCGGCGATGGCGCGCCAGCTGCTCTTCCTGACGGCCTCCGCGCTCGCCTCCGCGGTGGGCGCCGAGCTGCACCTCGTCCAGGTGTCTGTGCACGGGTCGGACGGCAACGAGGTCCACACGCCGCACCCGGGCAGCGATGGCGGCTTTGTGCTGGCGATGCGGTTTGCCACCTCCAGCCAGTTCACCTTCTCCAGCGACTACTGGACAGATGACCAGCTCGTGGATGAAGCCGATGCTGACCCTTACAAGGATGCCGACGGAACATTTGACGCATTTCTGTCTGCGCCCGCGACCGAAATAAGAGGGTGTCTCCCTGGGGGTGCAAGACGTACAATTTTGCCTCCATGGGGCTTCCCACAACGACGACTCTCAAGGATCTGTTCGCCACTACTCCCATCGGCTCCTCCACGAATGTCAGGTTCGGCGAATCGACTGCTGATATCAGGCTGTGGGCTGAATACGCCGGGCGGAACGGATGGGCGGAAGAAACCGCTTGGATGGGTTCGGGCATCAATTACGCAGACGGCAGGTCAGTCTATCAGGCCAGGGTGCGATTCGGTGCTCTCTTCAACAACTTTGGCAGCGTTAGCGATGCCGACGGCGCCATCGGGTTTGGGGCAACGGAGGCTGAGGGTCAAGGTATGGTGGGCGCTGGAGCGACGACTTGGCCAAGGAATTCGTATCCAGTGCAGGGCACGATCTGGGTCAAGACCCCTGTGCCCAGCCCGACGTCCAGTCCGACATTGGCCCCGACGAGCAGCCCGACCTCCAGTCCGACCGCGTCCCCGACGACCAGCCCGACGTCTGCACCAGCGGCACCGCCCATCAACAGCGGCCCAATGGTCAAGGGCAACGGCGACCCGCATCTCGCCAACACGCTCGGCCAGAAGTTTGACCTGCTTCAGGCTGGGTACCACACTTTGGTCCAAATCCCCAGGTGGGAGCGGCATCGGACTAATTTCCTCGTGGAGGCGAGGGCGAGTCGCGCTGGGCGTGGGTGCGCTGATCTGTTTTTTACGGAGATCAACATCAGCGGCACGTGGGCTCGTCGTCACAGGGCAACGGACTTGCGTTGGGACGCCGAGGCTACGAGGCTGGCCAAGCCAACATGGATGACCTTCCACAATGTGGTCAATGTCAACATTGTGCATGGCCGCACAGCCCAGAACACGAAATACCTCAACATCTTTATGAAGGGGCTGCACAAGACAAAGGTCCCAGTGGGTGGCCTCCTCGGAGAGGACGACCACACGGCGGCCACCACCCTAGACAAGGGTTGCAAACACATCGTCACGCTGTGAGTCTTCTCCCGCCCTGGTCCCAAAGTGCAGAGCGCTTACGGAACACGGCTCCAGGAAGCATCCCCTCCTCCCCTTCCCCCCCCTTCCGCCTCCCTACCCTGCTCCCCTCCCCCCTCTTTGAAGCTCGGGGCCAGTTTGTCCAGGCCGGCTGGACGGCACGTATTGCTGTGCGACGCAGAGTCAGGAATAAACACAATAGATCTTTCATAGCCCCCCCGCAAGAATGAGGAATTAATTATCTGTTCCGCGGGCTTATTGACGGATAGGGACCCCAACATAATTGAGAAACTATGTATTCCCCCGCGGCGGCCACCCCTGATTATCGTGGGGGAAATGAGGATCCCTGGTGGTGATGAGAATGATGAGGGGAAGGGCGAGAAGGGAAGAGACGAGTTCCACTGCCCGCCGACAGCTTGGTGGGGGTGTCTCCCGAATCATTGAAAAGCTTCCGAGGCCGAGTTACACGCAAGAGTGACTCTAGGCAAGAGTGACCCTTGGTGCGCGGCCTCACGGGGGACGCACCACCTCGAGACCTCGCGGCGCCCTGGGGGGGCTGCGATCTGCGAAACTGTCGCCACGTTCCTGGGCTCCTGGGAGGCCCAGCGGAGGTACGTCCAACGCGGACCACCTCGAGACCTCGCGGCGTCCTGGGGGGCTGCGATCTGCGCAACTGCCGCCACGTTCCTGGGCTCCTGGGAGGCCCAGCGGAGGTACGTCCCACGCGGACCACCTCGAGACCTCGCGGCGCCTTGGGGGGCTGCGATCTGCGCAATTGTCGCCACTTTCGTGGGCTCCTGGGAGGCCCAGCGGGGGTAGTCCCACGCGGACCCCTCGAGACTCGCGGCGCCCTGGGGGCTGCGACCTGCGCAATTGTCCCATTTTCGTGGGCTCCTGGGAGGCCAGCGGAGGTGGTCCCACGCGGATCACCTCGAGACCTCGCGGTGCCCTGGGGGGCTGCGATCTGCGCAATTGTCGCCACTGTTCGTGGGCTCCTGGGAGGCCCTGCGGAAGTACGTCCCACGCGGACCACCTCGAGACCTCGCGGCGTCCTGGGGGCTGCGCGTCTGCGCAACTGCCGCCACGTTCGTGGGCTCCTGGGAGGCCCAGCGGAAGTGCGTCCCACGCGGACCACCTCGAGACTTCGCGGCGCCCTGGGGGGTTGCGATCTGTGCAGCCGTCCCCACTTTCGTGGGCTCCTGGGAGGCCCAGCGGAGGTACGTCCCACGCGGACCACTTCGAGACCTCGCGGCACCCTGGGGGGTTGCGATCTGCGCAATTGTCCCCACGTTCGTGGGCTCCTGGGAGGCCCAGCGGAGGTACGTCCCACGCGGACCACCTCGAGACCTCGCGGCGTCCTGGGGGGTTGCGATCTGCGCAACTGTCGCCACTTTCGTAGGCTCCTGGGAAGCCCAGCGGAGGTACGTCCCACGCGGACCATCTCGAGACTTCGCGGCGGCTTGGGGGGCTGCGGTCTGCACAATTTTTGCCACTTTCGTGGGCTCCTGGGAGGCCCAGCGGGGGTACGTCCCACGCGGACCATCTCGAGAACTCGCGGCGCCCTGGGGGCTGCGACCTGCGCAA